GGGCAGCCTTACTGCCACGTGCAGACTGACTGTAGGGAAGTGGCAGCCATTTTGCTGGCTTCAGTCTTCTGGATAGTAATAGGAAATGGCAGTCACTTCGAATAAGGAAGTATTCAAGTGACCAGGGGAGCAGCAATCAGGGAGAAGCAAATGGGATAGTTTGCAAACAGTTTACTAGGAGCAAGAGGAAGAAGGGGAAGAGGAACCAGGCACCAAGCACCAGATTCTGCTCTGGGAAGGTAAGCAAGCCAGGGTTGCCTGCTTAGCTTGCTGAGGGTTGTTTGGTGGGTCGTGTGCAGGTGTGTGCTCTGAGCATCCCAGTGATTGCTAATTGATTGCTGCCTGGGTGTAACAAAGGAGCCTAGCTAGTCCAAGCCCAGGAGAGATATATAAGGGAGAATCAAACAGGACAGTTTGCTAACCCCATCTTTTAAGGGGAACCTGTAAGGTAAGATTATTTCTGTTAATATGTAATTAAACCTGACTAGCCTACATAGTTTTATTTTAAGCAGCTAAAAAATCAGTAGTTAGATCTATACTTAGCCCCTTGTTTAACTACAATCCAGAGTGAGGGGGAATTTTCCTGGAAAAATCTCTCTCACATTCCTTCATTGTAAGCTTGCTGAGAAGATAGAGGTTTGCAGGGAAAGGGGAGCCCTTCAGGATCAAGGGACAGCAAACAGGTCAGCTACAGAGCAGTTTGCTAGGGAAGGTCTGCTTGGAAGGAAAGGCAGGAAGTGAGAGGCAGCAGATTAGAAGACCCAGAGGAATGGCTGGAGGATGTTGCAATCCCAGAGTCACTGCCACTTCCAGCTCTTCTTCTGCTTGTGCCTATGAGGTGTCTGTCCAGGCAGGACTGCACACCATCCAGGCTCCCACCCAGGTGCTGGTTTGGTGCTGTGCAGACTGCAGCTTGAGGATTCTTTCCAGTTTCAGCCGGGTGGGGGAGCGCCTGCGGTGTGAGCGATGCCTTCTGGTGGTGCCCCTCAGGAAGCAGGCAAGACAGCTATGGGAGGGGTAGCAATGCTCCGAAGCATCCTCCTCCATGGGGACTTCATGAATTCCATGCTGGAGGAAACCTCTAGGACTGGAGGAAGGACTGCCTCAGGCGGTTCTAGAAAAGGAAGAGGGCATGGACTCCTAGGAAGGTGGAAGATGAGAAACTTGTGACCTGTGGCAGCAAGAAGTTATCCCCACCTGTAGTGGTTTGCTTAGAGAACAGATATGGAGCGCTGGCAACAGAGGAGGAGGAGCACATTCTGTTGGTGGAAGAGGCCAGACCACTGCCACAAAGAAGAAGCGATGAGTGGTGGTGGTTGGAGATGCCCTTCTACAGGAGATGGAGGGGTCTATCTACCAGATGGATCTGTTGTCAGGGGAGGTCTGCTGCTTGCCTGGAGCCCAGATCTGAAATGTCAGAGGTTTACCAAGACTTGTCTAACCCTCTGACTACAACCCCATGCTGCTCATCCATGTGTGCACCAATGATATTGCCAGGGGTGACCCTGAGCAGAACAAGAGTGACTGCAGGGCTCTGGGTGTAAGAGTGAAGGGGACTGGAGCACAGGTGTTGTTCTTGATCCTTCCAGTTGAGGGGAAGGGCTTAGGCAGGAGTGAATGCATCTTATAGATCAATGCATGGCTGCGCAGGTGTGAGGGAGGGACCACAAGGAGGAGCAGACAATAGGGGAGGCCTTCTCATTTGTCCTGAGAAATCAGGGCGATTGGCTAGTTACCTCAGATGCCCGTAAACCAGGGGTAGGCAATTATTTCAGCTGGAGGGACACTTAACAAGTTTTGGTGAGCTATCAAGGGCCGCAAGGGTAGCCCTGTCCCTTGACAGGTGCCCCCCCGGGTCACCTTCTTGGAACTGGACATCCTGCCCCCTAACCCCTAACCTTTGCCACTGGAAGTCCCTCCCCTTGCCCTGGAAGTATTCCTTTTGGCAAGAGATTTGCCATCTTGGAACTGGAAGAAACCCACCAAATTATATTGTAAAAAGAAAATGTCTACTGCAACATACATTCATTTGATTTCAAAAAATATTTGTCCTGATTTTATGTGTGTTTGCATAGTGTACATAGAGTTCATTGCATACTAGCTTAAAGTAAGTCTTACTTTTGTATACTGTAGGGGGTATGGGTGGATGAGTGCAGGGTTTGTAGGGGGCTGTGGGTGTGTGTGTGTGTGTGGGAGGGTGTGGATGTATGTGTGGTGTTTGTAGCAGGTGGATAAGTGTGGTGGGTGTGGGTGGGTATGGGGTTTGTGGGGGGCTGTGAGTGTGTGGAGGTAGGGTGGCTAGGGGGTTGTGGCATGTGTGGAGGGGGAGGGTGGCTGGGGTGTGCATTGGAGGATGTGGGTGTGAGGGGGGGGGTATGGGTACGTGTGTGTGTGTGTGTGTGTGTGTGTGTGTGTGTGTGTGTGGGGACCCCCCCCTACGAACATGCCCCCCTCCTTCATTGCACACAGCCCCTACCAACAACAGGAGCAGGAGGGGGAAAGGCCTTGGGACACTCATGGCCTGTGGCAGGTGGAGACCCCTAGTGGTGTGCAATCCTGGCACACCCCAGGACTGCAAGTGGCCAAGCTGCCAGCAGGGAGAGGGGGGGAGCCAGCCCAGCTCCATAGAGCCCCTGCCAGCTCGGGCTCCACACCCCTGCTGCCCCACCCTGGGACCCCACTGGCCCTGGCCCCGGGGCATTGGTACGGGCCCTGTGCTCCCACCCTGCTGATGCTGTGCTTCCACCTGCCCATTCACTGCCACTTCCCTCCCCTGCCTGCAGCTGCTGCCACCACCATTTCCCCCCATACTGCCTTTCCTCTGCCACTTCCCTACCTTCCCACCTGCTGCCGCCACTCCCGATCTCGCCCAAATGATGCTGCAGCAGCACGCAGTTCCCAGCCCATGATTCCTGGCTGGCTCCTGCTGCGCTGTGCATGTTATTTTTACTTTTAAAGTCAGACAGCTATACATTTCTTGATGAAATCAAGAATGTTTAATAAGACAGTAATAGACCAGCCTCTCAATGCTTTTTGGTTTTATGTACTTATTTTAGAATTTAAAGGCAGAAGCAGCATTGTTGTTATATCCAGTAGCGGATCCAGAGGGGGTGATCACAGTGATGTGATCACACCCCACTTTCTGACCATGCCACAAAAGCAGCAGCCAGGGACTTTTTTTAAGTCCCTCAAGCAGGTAAAAAAATTTCCCCTCCCTTCCTCTCCATGCTCATAGACACATCCTCTGCCCTTTCCTCCCCTTCTCCCACCTCCACTTCACTTCCTCTGCCAGCTACTGTTACTGTCCCTCCTGTCCAGGGCCAGGGGGAGGCTCCAGAACCAGGCCATACAGGGCCTGGGCTCAGCCCAGGACACCAGGGACAGTGGGCAAGTTCCCCCTCCCTGCTGGGTCCCACTGGGTATTCCCAGCTAGTCTGGGAGCAAACACAGGGAGGGAGAATGCCTCCCACTACCATTACTGTCCCAAGCTGAGCCTAGCCACTGTGCAGTCCAGCTGGAGTGGGCAGAAGTGGTTCTGGAGCTTCCCTCACCCAGTGGACAGTGGGGACAGTGGCAGCAGCAGATAGGGGAAGGGCAGGGAAGAGAAGGGGACCTGCTTCCGAGCCAGGAGGAAAAGGGAGGGATTTCTACCAGCTTTGGGGACTTAGTCACAGATCACTGCTCCTGTGGTGTGGTCTGCTCACCCTGGTATGGGGAGGAAGTCTGGGAAGGGGGTGCAGCCCCCTCTGCAGTGCCAGTTGCTGCTTCTGCACTCCCCTTTGCAGAATCCTGGATCTACTTCTATTTGTATCTAGTCCAGCAGAGGTCCCAAAGCTATGCCCCAGGGGCCAGATCTGGGCTATGGAGTTGTTGTATCTAGATCACCAGTGGGCTAGCAGAAGTTATGAGGGCAAGGCAGGGGGTGGGCCCTGCCGCAGAATCCAGGGCCCTTGCGTCCTGATGGACATGGCTATTGGTGGCAGGGGGGTGAGCAAGGGATGTTCAGTTACAGTACTCACTTGCCCTGTGGCCCCTGGATCCTTGCCACCCCACCACCACCACTTGGCTCCACTACCACCACCAGATCCACCACAGCTGCTTCTGGCCCCACAGATCCAGCCCATGGGAACCCTGTGTCTGGATCCAGCTCGGGGTCCCAGGTGAGTTTGACAGCCAGCCTAAAATGCATAACCCATACTGAAATAATTAATACCATTATGCAGAAAGAGTTCTCATCTGTTAAAATCCTTTTTTATTTCTATCTATCTATCTAATTTATTTATTTATTTATTTGTATCATGAGTTTTTCTTCAGTGTACAAAAGATTCTATCTTTATCACACTCAGGATCAGGGATAGACAGATTTACTGAGTGTTGGTCAAATACTGCTTTATCTTAGGCATTGTGGATTAGTGTGCTTCTAAATTTCAGATGAGTAACACTTTAAATTTTGCTAATGGATAGATTAGACTTCAGTGTGTTAATACTCTCTTGTAAAATGCTGTAAGTTTTTATTCTTTGTGGCTTAAACATTTTGCAGGAAAAGAGCATTACCATTTACTAACCTGAATTATGTTATATAGGTATTGTCTTTATTTTAAGCACTTAATATATAAATGATCGTCAAGAAAAATGTTTGAAAGTGGAGATGTATGTCATTGTAGTTCTGACTTTTGGCTTTGCCACAGGAGTAGATATTTCTGAATCGGTGTATTTGCCCTGCTGTGCTAGTGATTATTATTTTTTTTTTTTTTTAATTAGAACTCCTCAGTGGGGTTGCCTCTTCACTGTGAGGTTGATCCCTTATAAAATAGGCTGATATACTGGTTTAATCTATTAATAAATAATTACACTATAAATGTAATAACTGACTGCTCATCCACTATGCAGACCTCTTGATTCTCTTAACACTATTAGGGTTTAAATAAGTTTCTTAGAAGTATGCATAATGTGAATTAGAATCTCTTACCATTATTGCACTGTTGGGGAATACTTCTGAAGTTTCATTACTTTTCCCCTTGCCTTGCAGGCTTATGTGAAGCAAAAGCCTATCGCAGTTTTCAAAGCCAGTTTGAGCTAAATATAAGCTTTCTTTTTCATTACTTTTTGGTTACTGTGGCAGAGAAGCTAATATGTTTTTAATAAGAGGTGGTTACTGAATTTATTGGATATGCCACTGTTAACAGTTGCTAATGATGGAAGAATTCAGGAGGTTTTTAAAGAAATTAACTGATCACAATTTGGAGAGTACTATTAAAGGATTAGAAGCTTCTCTTAACTGCTGAGAATTAAAGTGATAAAAATCTCATATGTATCCACTGCTTAACCAACTACGTGTGTGGGCTAATTCCTTGAAAAGGCATTTTTCCAATCTGGAAGGCATTATCATTAGAAATAATGTGTTTCAAAAGTTAACATTAGAGTTCATTTAAATTTAGAGGCTAGCATTGAGTTAACTATTTTAAATGTATAATGCTCACCCTCCAACAAAAATTTATACTTTAAGAGTATGTCCAGACAAGTGTGCATGTGTGCTTTGTGATACCTCAAAGGCTTTTGAGACACTGTAAAACGTATGTGGCACGTGGGAAAAGGTTCACTGCACTGCGTATTTGCAGCACGGAGCCAAAATTGGATACTGGGAGATCCTGATATCCAAAAAGAGAAAGGGGGGGCAGTGCACATGGCTACGCTCCAGCTGTTGGCCAGGCTCCATGCACCCAAATCATCACCATTGCCATCATAGATCTATTGCACTTTTAATGGTCACACAACTATTTAAAGCTACATAGTTATTGTTAAAGTGACTTTCCACTAGTAAAATTGAAGGTTTTTAATTTTTTCATGTATATATCTGGGACTTTGTAAATCAACCTCTCAGTCTGCGTACAAACACAGTAATAGTTTTGACTTCCTTGTGACAGCGCATACAAGTATAAATCAACATATTTGTATCTGCAGGACTGACCTCTGAATTAGCTACTCTGTTTTATCTTTCAGTATTAGGTTTGTACTTAGTGTCAGTAACAAAGACTTAAGCTCCACAAGAGATATGTCTCTGAGTATAGCAGAAATCAGTGCTGTAAGGTTAGGGTAACTGGGTAAGTAGGCTGATAAGTAATTATGATAAGAAGGTTAAAGGTAATTAGTAGCCACAGTACATGGCTAAAGTTGGGATACCTTGATTTCTTTGTTCTCAATTTTTTCCAATTGACAGTCTCTTACATCTAGAATTTGCCATTAGAAGAAGCAATACTTGTTAATGCTATTATGCTCACAGTAATTGGTGGTAAAGGATACTGAGGACAGAAGATAAGATAAACAAAATGTTGTTGTTTGCTGGTAAAAAAGGCTTATGTTATAGGTTTTAGGACAATGGCATGTTTTAAATTTTGGCAATAGATTAAATGGATACTAATAAATAGTTTAGGTCTAAAACTTAGCTTTTCATATTTGACTAAGAAATACAAAACCAGCATTCATACAAAATAAAAATAGAGCTGGACAGCCATAAGTGACTGAGAAGGATGGCTGGCAGTAAAGGAAGGCACAGACTATCAGTTGGCTGAACCTATGATAATAATTTTGAACACCAACTGTTAACTTAGTATGGGAGATGTAGAGGAATGCCTGGGTCCCAAGAAAAGGGGAAAATGCCTTCAGGGAGGACCAGATGTCTCCCTACTGCCTATTTCTTGCCTGTGCAGGGTGGTCTTTTATTCACCTCAGGTAGTCAAGAGAGCACAGGTTCTCACATCAGTTTCTTTCAGGTATGTTTGCACAGCTCAATGCAGGTCGATGAGGAGATACTGGCTTATCTTTCAGTTCTTGATGGATCTATGGTGGAGAAGGGGAAAGAGGATGCACTGTTCTTTTAGTAGTTCAATGGAACTGAGTAATCCCCTGGAACCAGCTGGTTCTGCTGATCCCAAACTGAAGGAAGTGTCATAACCCTAATGTAGTAGCTAGGTAGTTAACAAGCTAAAGATTAGGGATATTCAACCACTGACCCACAGGCCAGATCCGACTCCTGGCATGTCATTCAGCCCATGGGCTTCCCATAGGTCCATGGGGAGCACTATGGTATGTGATCCTGCACGCTAGATTGGGAACACAAGGTCCAATCCTGGAAGGGGGGGCGGGGGCAGGTAGATGTGACACAAGGGCTTGGGGCCCACTCCTAGCTTGCAGAGCTAAGTCAAGGCATTGTGGGGCCCCAAAGCCCAATCCTGTCACAAGGGGCCAGGTGGAGACAGTGTGGAGCCCCAGAGCTCGACTCCCACATGTGGTAGCACAGTACCCCAGAGCCCTATTCTAGCATGTGAGGCTGGGTGGACATGGTGTGGGGCCCCAGAGCATGGCCATGGCTTTCAGTGCTGGGCAGGGGTGGCACAGGGCCCCAGAACCCAATTCCAGCATGCAAGGCTAAGTGAGAGCAATATAGAGCCCCAGAGCCCAATCCTGGCACGAGGATGAGTGATGGCAGCATAAAGTTCATTTTTACTTCAGCACTCTAAGGTAAGGACAGTGTCCTAGAGCTTGCTGGGTTATTTTTGGAAAGTCCAGTAGTGAGGTTTTTCTCTTGAAGGATGCTGATGTTGTACCTAAACCTTGGTTTTCTTTAAATCTAAGAACATTTAAAAAATACACTGCAGCATTCACGTGGCTCTCAGGGGAGTAGCATCTTAACCACTACTTTTAATTAATTCCTTTTAGTTTGCAAATGAATCTTGCTCCTTCATGAAGAACAAATGCAAGATCAGCAGGGATGCCACATCTATGAGAGCATTTTGAAACCAGAATGGTGTATGTCTAAGTGTGCAGTTTTCTACAGCCTAGACTTAGCTAATAACTTCTCCTGCTCCCCACTCCCGAGGAAAACAAAGGAAAGTTGATTCTTGTGTATACATGATTCCAGATCATGCAAATATACTGTTTTTTCTGCCTGCCTGCATTTCTGTTCCTAATGTGATAGTGGAGCTGCAGTAAAAGATTATATCTAGTATTGTACAACTAGAGCCATGTGTACAGACATTCTAATGCTGAGGCACTGAAGAGTAGGAGAGCTGTGGGGGATCCTGTACACACATCTTGGTGTGCTCTGCAGGCTCCCTTAGCCTGCCTGGAGACAGATGGCAGGAGTACATAGGGCAGACTCCATTGGCTGATTCAAGCTTCTATGGTTTACCTGTGGTTTTCCTGCCATACAGTGTGTGCAGCAGAGTCCAATAAACAACACACTGTTTCCCTGGGAAGGGAGGGAGGAATCTTGGAGACTATGCTCTCTGTTGAAAGAAGCCACAGAACGTACAGACATTTACTCTCCCAGAACAAACTCTCTTGGGAGTGATTAAACCTTGGTTGTTCCCAGGTTGTTTTTCTCTTGGAGCATCCATTTTTATTCTAGGATAAAAATGATAAATGTTTGCACACTCATGGTTTCTCCTGGAAGAGCAGAGACTCTCCCAGGACAAACTGAATGTTTAGACGAGGCCAAAGATAGTGCTTCTTGCCTCTGAGAGCTTGCATAGGTGCCAGACAAGTTGGAGCAGATGAATGCAACATATAAATAGTATTTTGTTAGTCTATGAGGATCAGAACAAGAAAATGAATAGTTTGGTTAAAGTTCCCTTGCTCTAAGCTTGTACCTTGTCTTTGCTCAATCCACATAACAATTCCATTAACTTTTAAACCCTGTAGTCTTTAGTATTTTGGGGATGTTGCTTACAGATGCCATAATCCAAACTGAATTATTTTAATCTTAATAGAACCACATATGTCCTGTAATGACGACTTCAAATGACCTTTCCTGGTCCAGGTTGGACATCTAGGCTGCTTACAGATGTAAAACAAAAAAAAAATGGTGCTTTACTTTAAACTCCTTGCACCTCCACACAAACCCCAGTGCATGATCAGAAGAGGTACTGTGTTAGCTGAACTCAGCTTGCCCAACATCTGTATAAATCAGGCACTTTAGCAGGGCTTTTTTAGCACTTTTATCTAAAACTGATTCAATCAGGTATTAGATAAAAGTACCAAAAAGCCCTGCTGAAGCACCTGGTCTATACAGATGCTGAAGAGCTGGGTTGAACTAACATGCTACTTCTTCCAGTAAAGCGCTGGGTGTGTGTGGGTTCCCCCCCCCCCCCACCTGTCAGCACCCCTAAAGTCCATTAGTAGAAATTCTGTAATACATAATTAGAAATCCTTAAGTACTGTAATGTGAATGCCCCCCGGTTCCACCTGCTGTTACACACATTACAGCCTGTAGGGTTGATATCTGTTAATTTGGATTGCATCTCCCAGAAATCCTGCCGGGGCTGAGGGGCAAGGGAAAAAGGAAGAAGTTGAGGCTGGAGTAAAGGGAAGAGCGCATGGAACCTGGTCAGCCTTACACAGATGAATACACAGTGGAGTTGAACATCTCACTGGCTCACTCAGCCAGGACCGTGGACTGAAGGAGCTGGACTCAGACTTGGGAGCAGCAGCAAGCTGCAGTTTGAGTGCTCTAGGGACTAAAGGCTTGTTTGGGGATTCCTTTGGAGGTGAGGGGGAGAAATTAAGGTGCTGAATATACATTACCACTGTGTTAATATTTCTTTACCTTTTACCTTTCTAGGGAGGCGTTTCCTTTTGTATACCACAAATGGCCAAGTGAAGGCATGTGAAGTGGTACCAGAGAAGAATTTAACAGTAACTCCCAGAAGTGAGTAGATCACTAGCAAACTAAAAAGATGGTTCCATGAAGAAGAGAAGGGTTTATATGAATTTAAGTTTCCTGATAAATTGAGATTCCTAGTGGGAACTGCAATGGGTAGGAGCCACAGGGGTAAAATTCCACTGCTGTTCCTAACACATCAACAGAACAGGTTGTATATCAGGCACCATAATTGGGACGTTTAAGGCAGGTGTGGCTGTCTTGCAGGAGGACCCTGGATCAGAGAAGTTGGTTGCTATGGAGTACTGATCTCAGACAAGAGCCAAAATCTTAGAGAGACAGGTGATAACCTTCAGTGCAATGCAGGAAAATTTGAATGCGAGTTCCAGTTAAGTCATTGTGGCATGGGGGTGGTGCAAGAAGTCCTATTTGAGTATGAAGATTTGTACTTGGGCTTGGAGATCACAACCTAGATTTAGCAAAACACTGGATTAATAGTGGCAATGTCAAACAGAGGCCTCAAAGATAACCCATCCATTTCCAGCAAGAATTTGATCGGTAGCTGCAAGAGATGGAGGGAAGAGGCATCAGGCCCTCTGTCATCCCATGAGCTGCTCCTGTGGTGTTGGTGCAAAAGAAAGGGAGAGGTATGCAGGTCTATGTGGATTATTGTAGACTCTATGATGTTACTGTTAAGGATGCCTTAACAAATTGATGACATGCTAAACCTCCTGGCCAAAGCTCAGTGTTTCTCCACTCTTGATCTGGTAGTGGGTATGGCAGGTGGAAGTGCACCCAGAGGACAGAGCTAAGACCGCTTTCTACACTACAAAGGGACTTTGAGTTTCATGTTATGCCTTTTGGTTTATGTAATGCTCATAGAATATCATGTTAGCAGATATGCAAGAGACATCCTGCCTGGTATATCTGGATGATATCATTGTGATAGGCTGAAGCTTTTGGGAGCACTTGCAGAAACTGAAAGGAGTGTTTAAGAGGCAGAAGGAAGCCAACTTAAACCTGCTAAATGTCAGCTTTTCTTCAGGGAAGTGAACTTTTTGGGACATGTGATCTCCACATAGGGCATAGGTCCAAATCCAAAGAAAGTGAAGGCCTGAAGGTATTAAGTCCTGGCCAGTACCTCAAAATGTAACAGGACTGTGCAGCTTCTTGGGTTTAGCCTATTATAGAAGATTTATGGCAGATTTTGCTACCATTGTAATCCCCTACCTAAGCTCTCTAAGGTGAAGTTCATCTGGACCACAGCATGTCAAGATGCCTTTGTGTAGAGCTAAAGCAATGGTTAATGCAATCCCCTGTCTTGGAGTATACTGACCCTCAGTTACACTTCTTATTGAACACTGATGTAAGTGACACTGGCATGGGAACTGCTTTGTCACAAGCTGAAGGAGTCCAGGAAAAGATACTAGTCTATGCAAGCCTAGCCTTTAACAAACCTGAATACCAATATACAGCTACAAGACAGGAATTGCTTGCTGTGGTGACCTTTACCAAACATTTTCAACGCTTTCTTCTGGGGAGATGCTTCACATTAAGGACAGACCACAGTTCTCTTCAGTGACTACACAATTTCCAACAATCTCCAACCCCCAAGGGGTTGAATTCTTAATTCCAACTCAGAATGGCTGGCTGAGTTTGACTACCAAGTAATGCATCACCCTGGGAGATATCAACATTCTGGTGCTGCCCCCGTTGGTCTCACACAGTGGAAGCTGAACCTAAAGCTGAAGCGGCAGGGATACAGCCACTGTCAGTAGTGGAGACAGCTAGGGGTGAACCAACCCCAAATTCAAAAGAAGCCAGAAGGTTGGCAGATTGGTGTACAAGTTAACAGGAAGATGTTGACATTGAAGGTAGGAAGAAATTAATAAGATTAAAGAAATTTGATTCTGAGGAGTTCCCTGAAGAAGGGCAACGTCATCTGCACCTGAAGAGGTACCAGATAGTGTGGTCTGAGCTAAGCATTAGGCAGTGAGTACTGGTGTGACAGCTTCCAGAATTTGCCCAGAGACATTAGCCTATAGTGGTACCAGATAAGGAAATGCCAAAAATTCTGCAAGCTTCGCATGATTCCAATACTGGGGCACATTTGGGCATGGAGAAGGTCTTTCATAAGGTCCAGGCTTGGTATTTATGGTTAGGCTGGAGAAAATCTGTTAAAGACTGGTGCAGATTATGTGAGATGTGCAGAATCAAACCAGGAGGCAGGATCAATGCCAAAAGCTATGTAAGAAGTTCGGTGGCCCTTATACGGTCATCAGGGAATTGTCTGAGGTGTTATGAGCTGGCAAGCAGGGCAAGTGGACAACATTTGTAGTACACTATATAAATTAGATGAAATCCCATGTGTGTTCACAGAACAGAAACCCTGGCCTGACTAAGGAGCAAAGAAGGCCTGCTCATCGGCAGCCAAGATGTTGGCAGAGACTTTACAACTATGAACGCTGCGTGCCCTTGGCAGCTGGGGGGAGGCATGGCAAGCTCCTGCAGCGGCATTGTCGGCGGCAGGAGCATGGCGGTGGCAAGCAGGAAGCTCCTGTGGGCCGTGGCCAGCGACCACTTGCAGACATTGGTGGTGACCAGCAGTGCTCGCGGACTGCCCACAGATGCTGCCAGGGGGTGAGACGGGGCAAGCAGTGACCACACACAGGTGCCGCCGGCAGTGTTGGCGGTTCCTTTCTGCAGGGGGTGCACGTGCACCCCCTACACGTCGCCAGTGTTTACAACAGAACCCTCACCAATACAGCCCCCAGAAGGCCCAGTAGGGTGCTGCCAGAGGATGCTTCTGAAACAAGAAATGTAGGGTGGGATCCGTGGCCTGATGGGAATGAAGATGGTGAGGATGAACAAGTACTGGGGTAGGATCTAATCTGGGTACAACAGGGGATATCCAAAATTTACCAGAGCCAGTAAGGGTCTTCTAGGTAGGCTTAAGGATTACATAGTGTAACTTTAGTTGGATGTAGTATTTAGTACTTTTGGGATGTTGCTTACAGATATCAAAATGGAATTACTTTAATCTTAATAGAATCATACACATCCTGTAACAAAGACTTTAAATAACCTTCCTTGGTCCAGGTTGGACATCTAAAGTCCATTAGTAGAAATCCTGTAACGCATAATTAGAAATTCTTAAGTGTACACTGCTTTAGCCAGCATTGAAATGCATCCTCCGTAACAGAATGATTCCCTTTTTCTTCCCCTCAGGAGCATTGAAGATCAAGTAGCTATGTATATTTATACTTGGCTCGTTCCTCAGATTCTTACTAAACTCCAGAGGTAAAGTACACAGACATATTTTACAGCAAGGACTGCAAAATGGCAATCTATACTGCACCTGAAACGGGCCACGTAAGTTTGTGTAGCTTCCACCTCTTCCTTCTCTCTCCCCTTATTTTAAGAGTTAAAATTGAGTCCTAGCTGCTTCATAATTGAGCCTTGGTCTGGTGCCTCCCTTTAAACAGTGGGATCAGCAAACCAATCTTTTTACAAGGAAAAGGTAAGGAGCTGTCTGTTTAAAATTGCATGTATAAAATGTTGCCATATTGAAAAAGAAAATATTAAAGGCTGTTGCTTTGCCTGCAGTTTAATGTAGTCTAGAAGGAGATTCTCAAGTAGTATGAGGTAGCTGGTGATATAGTATTTCAAATACCTGAGCACAAGCACATTTTCTTGGCTGAAATCCCTTGCTTGTCTGTTGCTAGGTGGTGCTATGTATCACTAAGCAGAGAGAAACACTATAGCAGGAATCTGGTTGAGTCATGTAATGACTCTTCTCTTTGTAAACTAGTGGTAAGCATTCATTTAAAATGTACCTGGGGAAAAAACAAACCTAGCCTGTAAATGAGAAGATGCTGTGAAGGCAGAATGCTCCTAGGTTGTCATGTTATTGTGCTGATTTAAACAATATGTATATTTTAAAACTGAAGTGGTTTAATAACTTGAGTGAAGTTAGGGAAACAACTTAAGAGTCTGTAATATTTTGAATTAAGTCAAAAATTGATGGCTCTTTGATTTCAAGAATATCAGAGGGAAAAATAAATTTGATAACTTGTTGAATTTTAAAAACTTAAAGGTGGATTTTTTAGTGTAAATAAATACAACTGTATTTTAACCCATGCCCAATATGAAGTATGTATTGTTGTGTTGACATACAACAGTTTGAATGCTTCCTCATTAATATTCCCAGAAACAAAGCAACATTAAAATGGAGGTAACATAGGAGAATACAAATTGGTGATCATCAAAGAGAAAATGATCAGTGGTTTAATTTTTCTGGATTCAGTATAACTATGAGTTGAAGTGAGACTTAAATCAGAACATTTAAAACATAGAAATAGCAACTGTCTTGCACCAGTGCCAGTTTCAAACTGTCTTGGCTTTGTCTTATTCTTACCTGAAATCTCTTCTTAGATTCTGTAAGAGAATTTTTTCCAACCACTACACTGTGATACATGATTTTCTGGTTCCAGGATGTTTTCAGAGGGCCCGCAGAAATTGAGACTAAAGCTGTGTTGTCTAAGTAGGTCCCACTTTATGCTTCCTCCCAAGTTTGCAAATTAAGTATTTAAATATTATAGATACTAGAATCTAAAACCAGCAGAAAGCAAGAAGAATAAGTGATCTGAAGAAGAAAGAACAAGGTTGTTAAACAAAAACCAAATAGAAGTTGAAGAGTAGGCTCTGAGTCTCTAAGAGAAATCTGCACCAAGAGATAGGAGGGCGTTGAATGGTGTGTGTATTAAATCCTGCAACATGCATATAGATTGCACCCCAACACTGCAATGCTTGGTGATGGGATTAGCCAACCATGCATTGTTCTGGCCACTAGCCTTGACTTGCACATGTTTATCCTGTAGTAATTTAATTTAATTTTCACTTTGCAGATAGAACAATACCCACTGTACTTGTGTAACCAGTTTACCTAGTCTACCTATTCTCTTGTCTTCCATTCCAGCACTGGAACAGGCTACCCAGAGAGGTTGTAGAATCTCCATCCTTAAAGGTTTTAATGACCTAGATAGACAAAGCCTTGGTTGGGATGATCTGTTTGGGGATGGTCTTAATTTTCTATGATTCTCTCATGTATTGGTGGTACCAGGATTGATTAAAAACTGATTACTTAAAAATATATCTGCTTTTTCTTCTTTAAATGGGATTTTAAGTTGTTGGTTAAACTATGTTTTTCCTTTTTAAGAATAAACCTTTTTTAAAATGATATGTGAATTTAATATGTAATGTGTTTAAGGCTTAAATTAGATCTTTTAAAATTAAATATACTGAATTCATCACTGTCCAGACTCTGGAATAAACTCCCTCCAGAGGTGATGCAGTCACCTACCCTGGAGGTTTTCAAGAGGAGACTGGACAGTAACCCCGCAGGGGTCACCTAACCCCAGTTGCCTTCTTGCCTAGAGCAGCGGGGTTGGACCCAATGATCTGCAAGGTCCCTTTCAGCCCCTTACAATTATGAATCAACCTCAAATCAAAGAATTTGAAGTACAGGCTCTTGCTTCTCTATATAAAAGATAGGTTGTTCTTGATTCTAACTTTGGGGTCAAGTTTATAAATATGGCACAGCTGGTCATTAAAAAATTCTGTATTAAAAACTTCTATAGGGGACCTTGGAGTGTATAACTGGGTGCAAGTGACTAGCAAAGTTATTACAGGCAGTAGGATCATAGAAAATTAGGGCTGGAAGAGACCTCAGGAGGTCCTCTAGTCAAACACCCTGCTCAAATCAGAACCATCCCCAACTAGATCATCCCAGCCAAGGCTTTGTCTACCTGGGTCTTTAAACCCCCCACAAGGACACAGGTTCCACAACCCCTCTGGGATAACCTGTTCTAGTGTTTTACTACCCTCCTAGTGATGGTTTTTCCTAATATCTAGCCTAAACTTCCCTTACTGCAACTTGAGACCATTGCTCCTTGTTCCATCATCTGTTACCACTGAGAATGGTCTAGCTCAGTGGTTCCCAAACTGACAGATTGCACACCACCAATTTACAACAATACAACTTTAAGTACAATCAGCATATTTTTGTCATATAATAAGTCTGTTAACACAGACAACCTGTCAGTGGTATGCATACCACTGGTGGTACCCATACCGCAGATTGGGAACAGCTGGTCTAGCTCCATCCTCTTTTTGGAATTGTCCTTCAGGTAATTGAAGGCTGCTGTTAAATCACTCTCAATCTTCTCTTCTTTAAACTAAATAAGTCCAGGTCCCTGGAGCCTCTCTTCAGAAGTCACATGTCCCAGCCCCCTAACTATTTTCATTGCCCTCCACTAAACTCTCTCCAATTTGTCCCCATCCTTTCTGTAGTGGGGCCCCAAAACTGGACTCAGGACTCCAGATGTGGCCTCACCAGTGCCAAACAGAAGGGAAGAATCACTTTCCTCGATCTTCTGGAAGTGCTCCTACTAATGCAGCCCAGTATGCTGTTAGCCTTCTTGGCAACAAGGACACACTCTTGGCTCATACTCGGCTTATTGTCCACTGTAACCCCCAGGTACTCTTCTGCAGAGCTGCTGCTTAGCCAGTCAGTCCCCAGCCTCTAACAGTGCATGATATTGTTCTGTCCTAAGTGCAGGACTTTGCATTTGTCCATATTGAACCTCATGAAATTTCTTTTAATCCAATCCTCCAATGTGTTGGGGTCTCTCCAAATCCTGGTCCTACCCTTCAGTCTATTTACTACTCCCCCCAGCTTTGGTGTCATTTGCAAACTTGTTGATTGTGCATTCTATGCCATCTTATAAGTCATTGATAAAGATATTGAACAAAACTGGCCTCAAGACCAACCTGGGGCACTCCACTTGATACCAGCTGCCAACTAGGCATCGAGCTATGGACTACTACCCTCTGAGCCTGATGATCTAACCAGTTTTCTATCCACCTTACAGTCCAATCATCCAACCTGTACTTCCAGGGCTGTGACTCCAGTAGATGCTATCATGCGACTTGGTAGGAATTTTGAAAAATTTGGAAAATGTATCTAAGCTTGGAAAAATTTCTAAAATATCTTGATTTTTTTTTTTTTCTTTTTTCCAAGCTAACTTGAAATAATGAATGTAATTCTTTGTCTATTGTTAAATCATCTATTCAATAAATCCCTTAGTCATAAACATAAAAAAAGATAGATAAAAGAAATACATATCCCTAAAACATTAAGGGTTGGGGTTGTGTGTGTGTGTGTGTGTGTGTTTTTTTTTTTTGTTTGTTTGTTTTTTTTTTCCTCAGTAACAGTATATTTTATATGCTGTCTTGTATATAATTCAATTCCAATTACCATCCTAATGCTTGACACACATCATGAGCAGAATATTAATTACCTAGTAAATGAGCAATATACCATTTTCACTTGCTAACATACCAAAAAGTAAAATTAATAAAAAATTAAAAGGTTAAGCCATATAACTTATTAAATACATGGACACAATGTACTCTTCTAGGTAGCAAAACATTGCAAATATAAATTGTTACATTGTATTTAATGTTTTAATGGTTTTAACCTCCAATGAAAATGCACCCTTCTTCAGAAAATAACTGAAGTACCAATGGAAAAATTGATTAAAATTGATTATTTAAATCCAGGCTTTCCACTTAGTGATTGATTGTAAATTGCCTTGATTTACATCAGTCCACTCAGGCTGCTGCCTTCTGGACATATCCTCCTTTCATTGTATATTCCTTCTGAGGCAATATGAAATACCAGTGAATCCTGGGATCTCAGCAGCTATGTAAGCAGTCTGTATAGTAGGTGAGGATGTGCAAACATGATTGGTATTGATGTGAAAAAGTTGCTGTGAGGAGACAAGTCAACAATAACTTCTAGTTCCGTCAGAAGAGTGTATTACAGAATGGTTACAAAGCCATGACTGCTTTTGGTGTGGGCAGACCTCTAAGTTTCATTTACTTTCTGAAGAAGTCTGACATGTCTCTCTCTCTCACATCTAAACTAATGGCTGGATATTATTTACATAGGCAGTGACAGTGATTCTCAGCTAGCAAGGTGAGATTTATTTTTGTGATCGGCAGGATGAGCATATTTATATATTGTGGTACAAAATAAGTGGTGTAAGGAGAGAATATTTTGTGTAGTCAAAGTCCCATTTGAGTTGCATGGAAAAATAATAATAGAATCTTTAGAGTGAGGGAGATCTTTTATATGGAGGTTTGCAAAGGAGAGGGAAAATAACCACTCTCTAGAAGAAACCAATATTGCTATGGTTGAAGTAGATTGAAACAGGAGAGGGAGCCCTTGCTTCATGAGTTGGGAACCAAAGGGTATGGAGTTCTGCTTACCTAAGCCACAGAACAGAGTGAGAACTATACTTCTGCTC